GAATCAGTGAACTAACATAGACAGGAATGGGTGAATTTAATTCGGATGACCATCAGGTATACTACTGCGGGCAAGAATTTCTCAGAAGAAATGGAGTAGCCTTCATAGTCAATAAAAGAGTAGGAAAAGCAGTACTGGGATAAAATCTCCAAAATGACAGAATGCTCTCAGTTTGAATCCATTCAACATTTTTGTAAGCCGTCCTGAGGCTGTGGCAAAGGACAGCATATAAATGTTTTAATTAATAAATAAATAAATAAATAAATAAATAAATAAATGTCTTAGTAGTCCAAATATATGCCCAACCACTGATGCTGAAGAGGCTGAAGTTGAGCGGTTCTATGAAGGCCTACAACACCTTTCAAAATTAACACCGAAAAATGATGTCCTTACCATCACGGGGGATTAGAATGCTAAAGTAGGAAACCAAAAGATAACTGGAATAACAGGCAAGTTTCGCCTTGGAGTACAAAATGAAGCAGGGCACAGGCTGGTAGAATTTTGTCAAGAGAATATGATGGTCATAACAAACAACCCAAGAGACGACTCTACACATGGACATCACCAGAGGGTCAACACAGAAATCAGAATGACTATGTGTTCTGCAGCCAAAGATGGAGAAGCTTTATACAGTCAGTGAAAACAAGACCAGGAGCTGACTGTGGCTCCGATCATGAGCTTCTGCTTGCAAAATTTAGCCTTAAATTGAAGAAAGTAGGGAAAAGCACTAGGCCAATCATGTATGACCTAAATCATATTCCTAATGAATATGTAGTAGAGATGACAAATAGATTTAAGGGATTCGATCTGATAGACAGAGTGCCTGAAGAACTATGGATGGAGGTTCACAACATTGTACAAGAGGCAGCAACTAAAACCATCCCAAAGAAAAAGAAATGCAAGAAAGCAATATGGTTGACTGAGAAAACTTTAAAAATAGCTGAGGAAAGAAGGGAAGCAAACGGCAAGAGAGAAAGAGAAAGATATACCCAACTGAATGCAGAATTCCAGGGAATAGCTAGAAGAGATAAGAATGCTTTCTTGAACAGTGCAAAGAAACAGATGAAAACAATAAAATAGGAAGGACCGGAGATCTCTTCAAGAAAATTGGAGATATGAAGGGAACGTTTCATGCAAAGATGGGCATGATAAAGCAACAAAACGGCAGGGTCCTAACAGAGGCAGAAGAGATTAAGAAGAGGTGGCAAGATTACACAAAAGAACTATACAAGAAAGATCTTAATGTCCCTGATAACCACGATGAGGTCGTCACTGACCTCGAGCCAGACATCCTGGAATGTGAAGTCAAATGGGCCTTAGGAAGACTGAGCAACAACAAAGCTAGTGGAAGACATAGTATTCCAGCTTATTTGTCTCTTGAGAAACCTACATGACGTGCTTGGCCAAGGTAATGGAATGGATGAGGGCCAATAAACTGAAACTCAACCCAGACAAGACGGAGGTCCTGTTGGTTGGCGGATCGGGCTTTGGAGAGGGTGGAGTTGACCTGGTCCTGAATGGTGCAACACTCCCTCTTAGGGATAAGGTCCACAGCTTAGGAGTACTCCTCGACCCGGAGCTTTCTTTGGAAGCTCAGGTGACAGCGGTGGCGAGGAGTGCCTTCCTTCAGCTTCAGCTGATTAATCAGCTGCACCCCTACCTGGAGTTCGACTGCCTGGCGACGGTGACACACGCGCTGGTGACTTCCCGCCTAGACTTCTGTAACGCGCTTTACGTGGGGCTTCCCCTGAAGACAGTCTGAACACTTCAATTGGTGCAAAATAGAGCTGCCAGGTTGCTGACGGGGACGGGGCGTTATGCTCACATGACTCCAGTCCTCCGTCAGCTTCACTGGCTTCCCATTGAAGCCCGGGCCCAATTCAAGGTGTTGATTATGACCTATAAAGCCCTAAACGGCTTGGGTCCGGGCTACCTGAACAAGCGCTTACGTCCGTATATGCCCGACCGCCCTTTGAGATCTGCGGGAAAGTCCCTTCTCCGGGAACCCTCCATGAAAGAAATTAGGAGAGTAAGTACTCGGAGGAGGGCTTTCTCTGTGGTGGCGCCCAACCTATGGAATTCACTCCCCAAAGAGGTCCGCCTGGCACCGTCGTTACTGGTTTTTCGGCGCCAGGTAAAGACCTTTTTATTTAAACATCATTTTAATCGTTAAAATATATGATCTAGCCAGGGCAACTTCTTCTTCCTTCTCTTTTCTCCTCCTATATTATTTATTTACTTATTTTATACTGATAATTTTAATTTTATATTATTATGTTTGTAACTCAATGTATTTTTTGTATTTTTGTATTTAATGGTAATTTATTATGTGCTATTGTATTTCAATGTATTTTATTGTGTTGTAAGCCGCCCCGAGGCTTCGGCAAGGGGCAGCATAGAAATGTTATAATAATAACAATAACAACAACAACAACAACAACAGGGAGAAATGGACATGGAACCACTGATTGGTTCAAAATTGGGAAGGGAGTTCGGCAAGGCTGTATACTGTCACCCTGCCACGCACATCATGAGAAAGGTGGGGCTAGTTGAACCACAAGTTGGAATTAAGATTGCCTGGAGAAATATCAACAACCTCAGATATGCAGATGATACCACTCTAAGGGCAGAAAGTGAAGAGGAACTAAAGAGCCTCTTAATGTGGATGAAGGAGGAGAGTGCAAAAGTTGGCTTGAAACTCAACATTAAGAAAACTAAGATCATGGCATCCAGTTCTATCACTTTCTGGCAAATAGATGGGGAAGAAATGGAGGTAGTGACAGATTTTATTTTCCTGGGCTCCAAGATCACCACAGACGGGGACTGCAGCCAAGAAATTAAAAGACACTTGCTCTTTGGGAGGAAAGCTATGGCAAATCTAGACAGCATACTAAAAAGCAGAGACATTACGCTGTCAACAAGAGTGCGTATAGTCAAGGCTACGGTTTTCCCAGTTGCAATGTACGGCTGTGAAAGCTGGACCATAAGGAAGGCTGAGTGCTGAAGAACTGAGGCCTTTGAATTGTGGTGCTAGAGAAGACTCCTGTGAATCCCTTAGACTGCAAGAAGATCAAACCAGTCAGTCTTAGAGGAGATCAACCCTGACTACTTTTTAGAAGTCCAGATACTGAAGATGAAACTCAAATACTCTTTAGGCCACCTAATGAGAAGGAAGGACTCACTGGAGAAGACCCTAATGCTGGGAACAATAGATGGCAAAAGAAGAAGGGGACAGCGGAGAATGAGGTGGCTAGATGGAGTCACTGAAGCAGTCGGTGTGAGCTTAAGTGGACTCTGGGGGATGGTGGAGGACAGGAAATCCTGGAGGAACGTTGTCCATGGAGTTGTGATGGGTTGGACATGACTTTGTGCCTAGCAACAAGCAACAACAACACCAACAGAAACACTACTTCGGTGCCAACATATTCCATTGCCTGGACTTCTTTATCATCTGCAATGTTTTTCTGATTTGTTAGTGATTCCAGAGAATTGTATAAGTCCCAACCCAGTAGCACAAGGAATTAAGGATGTCATCTGTCTGGGAACAGTCAACTTGCCTATTTTGCCTGCATAAGGACTCACACTTGGAGACAAATTTTCTATTAGTATACACAATTACTATCGCTGATATTTGACTATTATCAAATAGCCAAAGCTTTCTGGGTGCCTCAGAAAAAAATCCCATACGTGTTAGGAACTGCCTAGCTTCTTCATTGCACGACGGGATGGCAAAGGCATAGGTTCAGTGACATCGCTTTATTTAAAGGCAAGTCAAGTGACACACTGACATTCAGAAGTCAAGCAATTAAGCTTAGGTGTTACAAATAAGTTAGCATGAGCACCAATGGCCCATGGCTTAGATTAATGAGCAGTCCAGAAGCAAGAATTTAACTCTACACCATTAGAGGTTCAAAGGAATTAGTAAGAGTCATGATACAAGGTTCAAAAACTGGCTGTAGTTCACAGTTTAAGATGATTCACAGCTAGAATTGCAAAGCAAAAATAGTGAATTTCTCAGGAGGATCTTCAGTCTTAGAACCAGAGCTTACTCAGTTTCAGAGTCAAGAATAGTTGCAGTCAGGCAGAGGTCCTGCTCTTGGGGTAGAATCTTTGATGAGATTGCTACATGGTAGGAGTCCAAGCCTGACTGGCCAAGTTACAGAGATTCAAATATAAAGCAGGCCATAGAGGCCTAGATGATAGGAACAGTATATAGTATTAGAATACAGATAGAAGTCATGACTAGGCATTCCATAATTTGGGAACTCACACTGTTGGGTCCAAGTGAAAATAGGTCAAGAGATGCAAGAAACCATTAGACAAGAAGGAGTCTCATGTTTTCGCCTCAGAACTTATAGTCAAAAAAGGCTCCAGGCAAGTCTTGGTTCGGAAAACAGGCCTAGGAAACATGCACACTGTCAGATATCAGGTCCAGTAACAGAATCTGCATTGGAAATATCTGATCTATAGGAATCAAGGCAAAATAAGAGTCTTAAAAGTCATTAAATGTTCAGGCTGGAAGGCTTTCTGGGCAATCAAAGGCAAGAGTATTCAGATTATGACAAACAATAATCCATGATCTATAAGGCTAATGTTCAGGTCTACTGCAGATTTTTAACAATACAAGATTCAACAGACAAAAGTCCAGAGTAAACTATCAGTTTAGGAAGAGTCCAACTGATGGACAGTCTAGGCAGAAAGTGTAACAAGCAGTAAAGGCAACCAACAACACACAAGAAAAAGGCCAAGCAGGTTTAGTGTAACTCCAAAATTTGCAGAACTACAAAGACATGATTAGGTTAAAATAAGGTGAAAATACCAAAAACAGCTCCATGAGGACTGAATAAGCACCATTACAGGGAGGACAATAAACCAGGGAAGGGGAGAGAATAATGTAATATCCTAGAAGAAAGCATGGTCCCTCTTACCAACTGTGCCTGCCATCTTCGCACTTCTACTATGTTCCACAATTAGCATGCTAATTTCTTGCGAATACTTACGAGAACAGGTGGTAGTCTGCCACTCTAGGCACTGTCCATATGGAAAGGAGATTATGTAGGCATTTGAGTCGACACAACGTTTTGTGCTGCTACACCACATGCACTCCATGCCACTGCTTGTGCAGTTGGAACACGTTGTCCTTAAGGAGCATGGTTTTTTGCAGGGTCTAGCATTTTGATTTGGACTAACTAAATGAGAAAGAAAATAAAAAGTAGAAAATCAGTATTTTTCTTAAATTGGTTTATGCAATTTGAGTACATATTATTAAGTACAAATGTTGTTTCCTTTTCTTTATTTGGAATGTTTTCAGGTAACGCTTGCATACTGGTATATGCAGTATTGTTTTTGAAAAACTGAATGTACACCATTTCACACAATTTCTTCTATTCAGCAAACCTCAGCTATATTTTTTCTAATGGAAAATATAAACTACAAATTATGTTACTTGGATTGAGTTATTAGTATATGTGACATCTAAGATCCAAAAGTCTATTTAGTTACATACACTGTGAAACAATATGACTTAACATGCTTTAATAAGTATAATAATCTATGGCCTTCTTGTTCTACTGCTTTTGTTAAATAGTGCATAAACAATAGTTATTTACTTCACTGGTGATATATTCCCCCTTAAACAGTGTGCATTTTGTCTAAGTGTGTGATTTGTCAAGTGAGCATCTGCCCCCTGGCATATATATTTGCAGTGAGTACAAATGCAAAGAGAACACAAGAGGAGCATTTTTAATACATTAAGGAGAACATTTTCACAGCAGAATGCATTCTATCTCCCTTAGTAACATGTTTTGCCCATGAAATCCAAACACAACAACCTGTATAACTAAACAACAAAGAAGCAGAGGTGTTTAATTTTCTTTCAATAAGAAATAACTGTGAATCAAGAGAACAGAGTAATTTCCACAGCCAGCAGAAGTATATATTAGGCCTTATTTTTCCCATTCTAAAAGATTATTTTTACCTAACATGACTTTGATTAACCCACACCATCCTATACAAAATATGGCCAATGGGCTGGTTAGCACAATCCTAATCTATAAATTGTGGTTTATGCCACAATGGCTTTCACCCTATGTGAAATGGATCTACAAATAACTTTTTATGTAGTCAGGGTTTATACCTAACAAGCATTATTCTCAACACTTTTTCAATTGTCTGCCACATAAAATTCCTTATTATTTGTTTTTTTAAAGGAAGGACCTCCTGCTAACTTTTATCAGGGTTGATTCACAGTTGCTTAATATTAAAAGCTAAAAAAATGGCTTCTAGCAGCAATGAAAATGCCACAAGCTTCTTGAAAGAGCTTCAAAGAGCTGGGTCCAGGAGCCTGTAAATGCTTCTTTGAAGGAGGGAGTGGTCCCCTTCCTGGGCAAGTGTTTGAACTGTTAGTGACTGAACAGCCAGGAGCCAGTAAATGCTTCTTTGAAGAAGGGAGTGGTCTCCTTCCTGGGTAAGTGTTTGAGCTGTTTGTGACTGAACAGGTCCAGGAACAGGACCATCTTGATCCATTCCAACTGGGCTTTAGGCCCAGGCTCAGAATGGATGCTGCCTTGATTGCCCTGTGGGATGACCTTTGCCTGAAGAGAGACAAGGAGCATATGACCCTGTTCGTTTCCTGGTCTTCTCAGCAGCTTTCAATACCATCGGCCATAATATCCTTCTGGATAGGCTGGCTAGGTTGAGAGTTTGAAGCACTACTTTGCAGTGGTTCTGCTGGTACTTAACCAGCTTATTCCAGAAGGTGGAGCTGGGAGATTACTGCTCTATGCCATGGCAGTTATGCCATGGAGTGCTGAAGTGCTCTATTTTATCCCTCATGCTATTTAACATTTACATGAAATTGCTGGGGAAGTTATCCAGAGATGTAGGCTGAGATGTCATACAAGGAGGTGAAGCAATGGCCGTTCTGAATCAGTGTCTGGGCTTGGGGATCGATTGGATGAAGTCAAAAAAACTGAAGCTTAATTCAGATAAGACAGAGATGCTGTTGGTGGGAGGATCTACTATCCAGATGGATGACATCACCCCTGTTCTAGATGGATTGCACTTCCCCTAATGGACAAGGTTCATTCCTTGGGGGTGCTCCTCGATCCTGAATCAATGCTGAATTTCCAACTAGATTCAGTGGCTGGAGCACCTGCTATCAGCTTAAGCTATGCTCCTATCTGGACAGGCAGGACCTAACAGCACTAACCATGCTCTGGTAGACTCTCATTTGGATTATTATAACACACTTGGAAGTGTCTTTCAAGATAGTCCAGAAACTCCAAGTGATACAGAATAGGGCAGCAAGGCTGCTGATGAGGACTGGCCGATATGAACATATAATGCCACTCCTCTATTAACTTCACTGGTTACCAACTAAATTCCAGGCCCGATTCAGAGTGTTAACATTAATCACATCAAATATTTAATATTTAAAGCCCTAAATGGCTTGGAGCTAGGTTATCTACAGGAGTGCCTCTTCTTATATATAGCTACCTGGACCCTAAGATTGATTTTATTGATTTTATTGATTGTTTGTATGTTTTAAAATTTGTAAACCACCCAGAGAGCCTGTGGGCTATGGGACAATATATAAGCGTAACAAATAAATAAATAAACTCCATAAGCCTCAATACTGCATTCTGCATTGGACATTACTCAAATAGTATGGTATATTATCAAATATAGATTTTTAGCATATAAAAGTTAGCATATATTCCCCCTGTCCTACCTAACTTCAAAAATTAGCATAAATAACCATGACTATATGCTTTCCAACATCCCTTCTATCCATTATAAAAATATTAAACCATTGTAATGTACCAAATTGTTCCAGAAGTAATATTTGCAGTATGGTACACTTTCTTACCAACAGGTTTCTCACATACAAGACCATCAGCCATGGCAGTACATGGATTTGCTTTCAGACCTGCAACCTCAGCTCTTTCAAGATAGGCACAGAATCCAGAGTCATTTGGTTCTCCAGGAAGCCACTGTAATGTGGTGTTCGTAAAGGGAGACATATCATCCCATCCCCAGTAGGAGATGTTGATCTTGCGTAGACCCACCCAAGGTGAGATTTTCTGTGAAGTAAAATGAAAAGACCATGTGAATCCAATAGGCATTTAATTACAGCACGCACAGTCTGCACAATCACTTCTGTATTACTTCAAATACTTCAATAGCAATTTGCCCATACTGGAATAGTATGCTTAATCAAATTAATATTTTCAGCTCCTTTGTTATGTCTTCCCAAACTGCTGCAGTTTAACTCTGCTCTAAACTGGTTTTCCTATCACAAAACTAAAAGGACATTCAGTACAAGCACAGGACTGTTCCCCTTATTGTACACTAACTACCAAAGAAAAATTGATCAAATAAATACATAATTATCAAAAGCCCTCCCCCCCCCAAAAAAAACAGAGAAAGGAGGAAAAAAAGGAAAATAAGTACTGTATTAAGTTAATCACTGCTGAAGCAGACATTTCCTAGCAATTTAGGAATCAACTTTAAGTTCTGCCAATGCTTCTTGTGTATCAGTGACCTACCAAAGCATCTTTCTTTTTTACATTTGCTCTAGAAGACTGGTGTATAAGCTACTTATTGTTGAGTCTGAGCAGCTGTCTAACCTAATATTTCACACCAGGAACACAGTAGTGACAAAAATGTGTGATGTTATATTTTCCACATTCTTTGTTTGAACCCAAAACTAAATTTGCTCTTCCACTTGAACTTTAGAAAGTAGCTGATTGTTCCTGATCTTTTAAGATTAAAAGTAATATGCACAAGGATGTGTCCCATTCAGAGCCAAACTACATATTACACTAATCATGTGATATGTAGCGAGTTCAGTCCCCCCCCCCCCCCCCTTTTAAAAAAAAAACCCCTTTTTTTTTAAAAAAAGGGGGGGGCAACCCGGGGGGGGGGGGGGACCTGCCACTCAAACCCCTCCATGCAAGGATAGTTAAAAAAAAGTGGGGGAAGTTTTCAATGATGCCAGTTAAGACCTTTTTCCGCCTTGAACTCCACCTGGGCAGGAGTTCAAGAAAATTTGTGAGAGGAGATTGGGACCTTTTTATGCAGAGTGGTTCCAATCTAAATGTGGGTAATGTGCACTTACTCTAATCCCCCAAGCTTCAGTTACAGACTATGCAATTATGATGACATTTAGTTTTGATCACAGATAATCAGGGAGATACACCAAGCAAAATGGGAAGGCAACTGCCCAAAATTCCGCATCAGAGTAGATATGGATATATGGAATGATGGACACATGGGCTCCAGCCTGCATATGCTTGCTCTCGCTCTCGCTCTCTCATATAGACACTCCCACCCACACACACAGAGACAGAGTGATCAGAGGCAACAACATTCCGCAAACAAAGATGTAGAATACCAGAGCCTGGTGGGAACAGACAATCTAGTCACTACAGATGATGAGAGAATGACAGAAATAGCAAGACATCAAAACATGGGTAAACGAGAGACTTTTCATTTAGGATGAATAATCCTGCCCACCCAGGATATACTTGTGCAAGCATGGGAACAGAGCTTAACCCAATATAGCTGTTTTCCACCATTAACATTTTAATACATCTCTGGGTGATTTTGGTAACTTTGGGGAGCAAGGGGGTGCCCCCATTACTGTGGTCATGCATAGAGAATGATGTTGGGGGATCAAGGCAGTGGATGAGGAGCTAGATACGTTACAGCTATCCTTTCTTCTGATCCCCCCCCCCCCCAGTGGATGATTCCCAGCAGCCTCACCAACTTGCCCTTGGGCTTGGTGATGCTGCTATTGAATGCCACATCAGCCCAGAATAAGCTCTCCTACATCCATGACTTGATTGTGTATGAGGGGGCTGACATAGCTTGCATTACTGAGACCTGGATGGGTAAAACAGAAGGGGTTACTCTCTTCCAGCTGTGCCCACCTAGTTACTCAGTATAGTGTAAGAGGAACCCACCAGGGATTCCCCATTCCTCCAGCAAATGGGGCAAAATCCCACGCAAAATTATCCTGGCCCCTCAATTCCTGTACCGAGCACTGGATTCAGCACTTGACAACTCAAGCTTGGGGAACAAAACAAATTTATTAAAAATGATAAAATATAGGGATGTGGGGCACTAAAACATACAGACCAAACAGAATAAAATAGGGTAAAATAGGGAAAGGACAAGGGGAGTTGGAAAGCAGAAATAGTACAATTACCAGCCAATCAAGGACCCCTGATCCCAGGTTCTTATTGGCCCACTCAGACTAGAAAACAACAAAGCTAAACACAGAAACTCTACCTGCAACAAAGGCAGGATGAACAGGGCTTCACAACATTCTTCAACACAGATAGCAGACAGCAGCATGGATCCCCCAAAGAGGAACAAAAAGCTTCTATGTTCCCTGGCCTTCATCCTTGCCTTGTGGGTCAACTCACCTGGGAGGTGATGCTCCATCTGCCAGTCCTTGGGGCCAACCATCTATTCCAGGAGTAGGGCATTAACCAGTCATTACTGTTATCTCCAGCATACCTGAGGCCATAATTTCTGATAATTTCTCAAAATACATCACAAGGGGAGAAGGATAACTCCCAAGACCTTGGGTGCCAGATTTGTGCTGAGCTGGCACCCAGATTTATAACAGTTAATCATTATGGTATTAACTCTTCCCTGGTTCCCTGTGAGTCCAAAGACCAGTTCACATTACATATAGTGCCAGCATCAACTCAAGAGTCCGGGGGGGGGGGGGGGTGCCAGCGGTCTATAAGAATATGATCTCCCACTTTAGGTTTCCTGCTCACTTGGGCACAGATCTTGACTATTTGTAACTCGTGCTGGGCACTCCAGGGATTAGGGATTCTGCTGACGTACTGCCCACCCTGCTGCCCATCATTCCGTGCCTGAGCTTACAGAGGTGGTCTCAGACTTGGTGTTGCTGGTGCTCCTGTCAAACCCCAGGATGCTATGTGGAATACAGAGATGGCTCAGGCAATCACCCTCTTACCTTGGGCAGAGCCCAGCCAGCTTTGTGGTATGCACCTGAGTTGAGGGCAATGAAGCAAGAGGGGTGAGGTGGAGAAAAACTTGTGCTGAGTTCAACTGAACCAGGGATAGAGCTCACTGTCGAGCCTACTATGTAGTGGTGAGGGTGGCAAAGAGGCAGGTCTTTTCCACAAGCACTATGTCTTCTCAGTGTTGTCCATCACAGGGTTTCCAAGTGGTTCATGGTGTACTACCATCTGGGCCAGAGAAAGAAACTATGGAACCCTTGGTAGCTCACTGCAATTAATTTGTACAGCCTTTTGATGATAAAGTTACTTAGATTCATCATGAACTGCAGACTGCCCGGTATGCTTGTCCCTTGCTCATCATGGCTTATTATTAGAATTAAGGAAGAGGTTTGCACAGGTCCAGGAGGAAAAAGAATGCAGATATTCTTACTATTTCAAACATCTGGTGATAAAAGTGTCTAGCTTATTGAAATGCTGATCAATGCTTGTCTTAGCTGCTGTTCTTTCAACTGTTCCTTTTCTTTTGTTGCTTATTATGTTTGAACTAATATTTTAACCGTAAACTGCCTTAAATACTTCTGTTTCTTTAAATGTTAAATAAATATGGGTTACTGCCCAAAAACTAAAATGTTATTTGATGTCTTCTGTGAGCTAAACACACCTTAAAGTAATTTCTTCCCACTCTGTTCTTCCTGCTAGTAGAAGTGATTGTATGTCTCAGGGAGAGCATATACTGACAACTGCCTTTCCAACTTAATAATAGTACAGAAGGTTAATCAAAACAATATTTCTAATTGTATAACTACAAATGCTTCACTTTCGAGAGGTTGCAACTATTTCAATTCTTCCAAAGAATCTAGACAGTTAAGATTTCACATTAAACCCATTGTTTAGATAATAGATAGATAAAACTAAATAGATAATCTTGCTGCCTTTGGTCAAGCAATGATACTGAGAGTGGTGATTATCATGATGAAAACAAGCATAAAGACCAGACAAAAACCAATAATTTATACAGCATCAATTATTCATATTTAGCCATCTACAAAATTATATTTTGCTGATACAGAATTTCTAAGTAAAATCCTCTCCACCCTCATTTAAATCATATTTATACAAACTATTTATTTTCAAATAGTTTCTATTAATCATATAGAATTTTGGTTTGTACAGTAATTAGAAACGAATACAAATATTTCCGATCAGCATATTTCTCTGCTACTCTGCCTACATCTGTGAACCCCACCATACTTGGTGAAATAAGCAGATCATTTAAATGAAAATGAATGCCCTAAATCATTGTAATTGGAGCTTGAAATAACAAGAATATGAAGGAAAATCAAGGAAAATCTCAGCAAGCTTTTTTGGAAACTGATGGCACATTCAGAATGACACAGAATAAATGGGATGAGATTGATAGATAGAAATGAAAGAGAAATTACTTTTTGAGAGGAGAAAATCAGACGTGAGATAAAGCATAAATCACTATAACATTTCATTAAAACTGTTTGATAAGTAAATGATCATTTAACCCAAGATATCTCTTTAAAGTATATACATTTGTCTATCTTTGCTGTATACCAGAGGTGGATTATCTCAAATTTATAGAATTTTTGTATTTTAAGAAATACTTCATCAAGTATGCTTCGTATGATGTCACCTTTTGAAAGTTTCAGAAAACCCAGAAAACGAAACGCCCATTTTTCTGGTCAGTAAATTTGTCAAGATGACAGGATCTCACAGACTGTGTTCTTGCATTTGATGAGATTCTTTGTGTAAGTATTTGGAGATACATGTGTCTGCATAAATGCATGTGTCCATGTTTACATGTGTGTTTGTGTATAACTGAAAGAAAGAGAGACAGGCTGACATATACATACTGGAGGCAATGTGAAGTGAAGGGGAGGGGAGGGGAGGGCCAATTCAGTCAGGTCTTACTGAATAAATCAATGAATATCATCTGTCTCCTCTCTGCAAGTTCTGGGCAAGTACCTGCAACACACACACACCTGTTCCACATTTGGTTAGATCACAGCCCCTACATTGCCTCTGCTTTTCTATTTTTGCCACTAACATTACATCTAGTCTAAATGTATCTATGATTTTTTCCCTTGGCCCAATTAACCAACAGCTTCATTCATGACTGCAACAGCTCATCTACCCAAGACTTTTCAGCTTGGGAAGAGGATGCAACCAGGTTCGTGATTATGAGGGGTAAACAGCAGAATTAACTACAATTCAAAGGCTCTGAGCTTGTCCAGATACAGGAATGAAAATGGTACAGAACATGGATGCAGAAGATGTGGCCTGCAGGTCATATGAGGCTCTGACGTTTTTTTAATTGCAGCCTCTCCTTGGGTACCTGCCACCACAGCAACTAGTTTGCTATAGATCCTGCTGAAAAACATGGTACACAGACTGCTCAGCTGCTTTTTCAGTAGGATTGCTAGGAACCTGATGACATGGCCACTTCCAATAGTGACACAGACACTTCTGGTGAAGCAGGGATGCATGTGGTTCCGGGGGGGGGGGGGGCATGTAGCCCACTGAGGTTGGAGCTTAACTGTAAATCCTTTAATATTAATAAGGTTTCCCTTGTTTAATTCAAGAACTTCTATCTCATCTCTTCATTCCTGTGTTACAAAGGATACTTTTAACAACATGAAGTACAAAAACTGCATCCCAGTATATCTTCAAGAGAATTAGCACAAAATGCATTAGAGAAAATACTTCTGAGATTTGTCTAGTTTTATCAACATTTCTAAAAATTAATAAAACAAATCCTCATCTTGTATTTGCATTTGCACTTCTGAAATAAATGTTCACATTACCTGGAGAGTATACTTCTGTATTTCATCCAAAACAAACTCTACTTCCTTTGATGTTGTTAATGAAGCAAGAATCCCATTTAAGCCATAGCAGTAAAGTCTGGCATTATCATAGTTTTCACGACTAGAGTTTATACGGAGGCAGGCATCTCCAACATGATTCCACCCTTCTCCACATAGATGAGCTAGTAAAGAGTTACACAAGTTTAAATGTAGTTATGAAAGAAGAAGACATCACATTTAGCACTAGACCTAAAGGTTAACTCTTTAGAATACAGTTCAGTTGATAGTCTACCATCTACATTTTATACATTTTTACTGTAAAAACATCACTGCAACATAGTAGCCCTAACACTCCCAATTAGTGAAGTACAATTCCAGGGAGTCCTCAAGTTATGAATGAGTCCCATTCCTAAGATAATGGAAATAAGTTTTAAAGAAAAAATTGTGCATAAGTCAGATCACATATAGTCAGCCATCCATATTCACAGGGGTTAGGGGCACAGGATACCGAGAAAAGTGGAGAACACCGTGAATAACTCGCTGGACACGGCCTCGGGCCGGTGGCTGGTGGCCAAAGGGCGGTTGCCGTTTGTGGCCGTTCGTGGCTGTGCGGGGGCTGGGTTGGCGAGGGACTCTTTCGGTGGGTGGAATTTTATATTGAGGGTAGACGGGGAGTTTATATTGTTTTAACATTTTTATTGTATTTTAATTTGTTTTTACGGAGTCGTTCCTGGCCATGTCGACGGTTGGGTTACCTGGGGAGCGCGTGGGCGCTGCCACTGCGGTGATTGTGGGCAATGGATGTTACAGCGGTGGGGGTTTAACGTGTCTGCGTAGAAGGAGGGAAAGATGGTTAACCCCCAGCCAGAGGGTTCCAGGTAGTCTTGTCAACCGCCCCCCGGGCCTGACAGTGCTGCTGCTCAATGCCAGGTCAGTCCACAACAAATCGTCCCTCATCCACGACCTGATTGTGGATGAGGGGGCCGACCTGGCTTGCATCAGAGACCTGGGCAGGAGGGGGGGGGGATGTTGCCCTTTCTCAAATGTGCCTGCCCATGTATCTAGTTCAGCACCGTCCACGCCTGGAGGGGAGGGGGTTGCTTTTGGTTTACCATCTCCCACACGGGGCTTCCAGTCCCTTCGAGGCCGGGGCTAGAATGCCTCTATTTGGTGTTGGGCGACTGAGACAGACTGGGGATTCTGTTGGTGTACCATGCACCCTTGTGCCCAACAGACTCCCTGCCTGAGCTGACGGAGATCGTCTCGGACCTGGTGTTGAGGACCCCCAGGATGTTGGTTTTGGGGGACTTCAATCTCCACGCTGAGACTGGTCTGACCAGGGCGGCTCAGGACTTCATGGCCTCCATGACGGCCATGGGGCTGTCTCAACATGTCACAGGCCCAACCCATGAACGTGGACACACTCTGGACCTGGTTTTGTCGACGGGGCAGGATTTGTGTCTAACACCCCTGTCATGGTCAGATCACCTCCTCGTGAGGTTTGTGCTTGAGAGCGGCCTTTCCCTCTGTAAGGGTGCGGACCCAATTGTGTGGGTCCGCCCATGGAGCCGGATGGATTCAGATGGATTCCTGAAGGCCCTGGGGGAGTTTCCAGTTGACAAGAATGGTGCTCCTGTCGATGCTCTGGTCGAACTATGGAATGGGGAAATGACCAGGGCTATTGACACGATCACTCCTAAGCGTCCTCTCCCGCCAGGCAGAGCCCACTCTTCCCCTTGGTATACACCTGAATTGCAGGCGATGAAGCTGGTTGGGAGATGTCTAGAGCGTAGGTGGAGGAAATCACGGGATGAATCTGACCGAACACACTTAAGAGCCCATTATCGGGCCTATGCAGTGGTGGTGAGGGCAGTGAAAAAGAAATTCTTCTCCGTTTCCATTGCCTCCTCACAATGCCGTCCAGCGGAGCTTTTTCGGGTGGTACAAGGGCTGGTTCATCCTGGCCCTGAGAAAGATCTGGTACCAACCTTGAAGGCCCGCTGTGACAACTTTGCCAAGCATTTTAGGGAGAAAATCGCTCAGATTCGTCACGAGCTGGACTCCACTAGTGACCCAGAGGCTTCTGGGGAGATACCAATGTCGCCGTCTGGTCCAAAATTGATGGATGAGTTTCAGTTACTGCAGCCTGATGATGTGGACAAGGTGCTTGGACGAGTACGTCCCACCACTTGCCTATTGGACCCTTGCCCATCTTGGCTAATTAACAACGCCAAGCACGGGATAGGGACCTGGATCTTGGAAGTGGTCAATGCCAATGAGGGATGGCTGGGTACTGCCCCTTTAAAGGAGGTGGTAGTCCATCCTGTCCTGAAGAAGGCGTCACTGGATCCAGAGATGGCCACTAACTATAGACCAGTGGCCAACATCCCATTTTTGGGCAAGGTGTTGGAGCGGGTGGTGGCGGGACAACTCCAAGCACTCTTGGATGAAACTGATTATCTGGACCCATTTCAGTCTGGCTTCAGGCCTGGGTACGGTACTGAATCAGCCTTGGTTGACCTGTGCAAGGAGAGAGACGGGGGAGTGCTTCCCTGTTGGTTCTCCTGGACCTCTCAGCGGCTTTCGCTACCATCGACCATGGTATCCTTCTGGATAGGCTAGCGGGACTGGAGCTTGGAGGCACTGCTTTGGTGGTGCTGGGGGACTATGGCTCTGCGCCATGGCAGTTATGCCATGAAGTTCTGCAGGTGTCCATTTTGTCCCCCTTGCTATTCAACATCTACATGAAACTGCTGGGAGAGGTCATTAGGAGGTGTGGGCTGTGGAATCATCAGTATGCTGATGATACCCAGCTCTACCACTCGTTTTCAACCAATCCAGATGAGGCAGTGGCTGTACTGAACCGGTGCCTGGCCGAGGTAATGGGCTGGATGAGGGCCAATAAACTGAAACTCAATCCAGACAAGACGGAGGTCCTGTTGGTTGGCGGATCGGGCTTCGGGGAAGGGGACCTTGACCTAATCCTGAATGGGGTTGCACACCCTCTTAGGGACAAGGTCCGCAGCTTATATGTTGGGTCAACACTAAGTCATCTCAGGGGAATAAAAAAGTTTTGGTTTATATAAGGTTCTATGCACTGTTATGCTTTATATCAGCAGATGGGTGTCTTAGAAATCCAAGCCAAAATTAAGCATTATCTAGTGGAATATAACTGGATTTCAATCAAAACCAAATCAGAAAAATACTGGGTTTCACCATGGTTCCACTGATTACATGGACTAGCTAAAGGCACAATGCACTGAATTTTGAAAGCTGTATTGTTATTGTAAATCTGAAATTTCCTTCCATTTCTGTAACAATGATTTTTAAAAGTGAAATGCACTTTCCCTTTTACCTGGCAAAGCTTGGCATTCCTGCTGTCGCTGGTCCCACTGACAGTTGAGGTTTAGCGAACAACTTTTACAGCTAGTCAGCTTATTGCAGATCTGCTCATTTCTGACATGGCATTTGGTGTAGTTTTTCACTGACTAGAATATAAGCACAAATAGAAAGTGTGTTGATTTTTCAGAATAAATTATTGAGAACTTGAAATGCAAAAAGAACTGACTGGTCTATGCATGCAAATAGCAGTAAGAAAATTTGGGATTTGAGGAATCTCACTGTTTTTCTAAAGAAGTCAGCAAAGAAACATATTACCCAAAGAAATATATCCATTTCAATATGATGATTAATATACAAAACACACAAATATATTTACACATGAGAAAGATTATTTGAGGAAGATAAATTGAATATCCATCAAAATACATTTTGGTATTTAAAACATTGCTTTTAATGTATGTGACATCTGGATTTTAGTAGGTTTGCAAACAGAGCAGACAAATCATTACATTTTAAATACATTGCAGAGACACATGTTTCTTTCGCTAAGGAATTTTTTTTCCTAAGGGACTAATGCTACAGGGATGACATTCTAAAAGGAGTTATTATTTGTTGAGACTCAGACACCACCTCTGCTTTGCTCTGTTTTTGGAAGGTCATACAGTTTGTCCCATTTGCCATGACACAAATGGCCTTTGTGCTGGTGACCAAGACACCTTCTTAACTTGCCAGATGTTCTCACAGTCTGAAAAAGTTGCCTAAGTCTGCTTTAAAACAAGCCATAATGCTGAACTATGGCTTAGTCTGATGATAATGCGGCTTGGCATGTCTCCGATCATCCGATTACATACTCCACCTTCCCACAGTTCCTCTGGTGCAGCCACAAGAGGACTAGATGCTCTAGTTCCATCTTAGATTAACCACACTTTACAATGTCATCCAAACACTCCATTAATCTTAATCATGGTTACTGGAAACAAGTAAGCCCATTATATTTTGTGACTATGTTTACATAATATGGCTAAACCACGTTTAATTGTGCATTACAGCATTTATGAGATATTTTGAATTTGTAATCAAATATCTGCTATTATAAATCAATTGGCGTGTTCTTTTAACATAGCATAGATTATGATCAAATAAGCAAAGTTTTTTTCTTTTCATAGGTATATGTTTATATTTGTTTCATGCTTCCTGTCTATGTTGATTTTAATAATGTACAAGATATGACTTGAAATAGATTTTTAGTACATGTGTTAACTGTAAGCATTTTAAACACAATTGTTGTAATATGTAGTCAAGGGAGAAAGCAGGTGTACCATCCACATAAATGTAGATAAATTTACCTGCTTTTAGTTATTTTCATATGCTTTAAAGTACCACCAAATAATCAGAATGTTGTATACTTACATTTTTATTTGAATGTATAAAGATACATTGGAGTTTTATCAAATAGACAAAATGTATATGTGCATTTTTCTATAGAAGATAATCTACATATATGAAACATGTATTTATTTAAGACTTTTATATGCCGTCCCTTATGCATGGCATCTCAGGACGACTTACACAGGGCAATAATAAAACATTTTTCATTTGACTTTATTCATGTTGCTCCCTCCTTCCCTTCTGCAATTTCTCCTTCTATTCAGTCACCAGTTACTGGAAACACGCTACCTTAATATTATGGTTTGAAGTTGGTTTGTTTCCTTTAACTAGTTAATTATGAACCATAGTTTGGCAGGGCTCGGATAAAACAGCTGGCTACAGTTAATGTAAAGCGCCCAAACATCTTGTGGACATGCTGAAGAAGCGATAGCATATTATGCCTCCTTCTCATCCAAATTACCCCAGCCTCAGCTATGTTGGCATCTGCCTTGTATGCATATGACTGTGTTCAACTATTGCTGAAAGCTGTGTTCCACATTACATGGAGAAACGGGGAATTGCACTGATGCATGTAGTTTAATGTGATGATCAGCAGCTTCCCATTCTGTAATAATCTTAAATAGGGCATTTTTAAAGAAACTTTGAAGCTAAAACAAAAATAAAAACTAACTACAGGAGAGAAAATCTGCATGTTTCAGAAAGCTGGAATAAACTCTGCAATGTATCTATAAATCAGAAACTTCTAATGTTAAATTTTCCTTTAGCAGATCCTTTACTGAGATTATCTTTTGAGGCAGGTTTCTCAATTCAGTTTTCTCCTCCTTCCAAGTAGATCAGTCTTTATTATGCTACAGCCTGGTATGAAGCTGGTTTTGTGGTACAAAAGAAGAGATCAGAAACACAGGACAAAAGCTAAGTTAGAATATTGGTCATTAGGGAAATTCAATGTAATGCTACAAAATTGATTCCAAACTGACTCCACCTCCAGGGTGGATCAGGCTGCTTACAAGACAATAGCCTGGAACCTCTGACATTGGTCCCCCATTTTAAGTTTATGATGCATGATATGAGTAATGATGTTAAGTCTGATCACCCATCTCAGTTTGTTCCCCAGAATTCCATCACCTTAACTAGAAACTGTCTGGTTCTCATTTCCAACCCCACCTCTTCTTTCACTTTTGAATCAGAATCTGCATAAAAAACATTTGAGGGCTGTATTATGGGAAGAGGGGGGTCAATCATTACAGCCTTACAGTATGTCCCAATATCCTGAGGTACTCCTAACTGGGCCTAGAGATAGGCAGAGGCTAGACTGGAACTCACTTCTAAAGGAGGCCTATCCTACCTTTTAATCAGTACCCTCCTGAAAGCTGGTAAAACCATTCCTTTTTAGGAAGGCATTCAATATGCAATACTAAGTTGTTTTAATTGGTCTGTTTAAAAAAAACAATATTTTGATTGCTACATTGTTATGCTTTACAGGTATATATGTTTTATGTTGGTTTATTAATTTAAATTATGTTTTAGTTGCCAAATTACTGCCTTCTGTTGTAAGCTTCCTAAACTCATTTGCGATAAAGAAATTATTGTTTTAAAATAAAATAAAATAAGCAATAGCCAGAGTCCATCTATGCTTTTAAAGATAATGTTATATGTTGCTTTTTCAGGTTTGATAAATATCAAGATCCTCACATGTAAACTTGTGTGTCCATCTCTTTTAAATACATGGATGTGAACATCAAGGAAAGGTACAGGTTCCGTTTTTCCAAATGTTGTAATGAAACATGCATCAAATTTTATGCCTTCACACTTAGTGAAAGGTTAGCACAGTTTGCTCTCGGGCATCCATACCAGAATGCAAGCTATAAAAGTGAAAATCACCACCCAAGAGGAAGGCAAGAAAGACCATACAGAACAGAATGCTTGATGTCCAAGGAACAGCTCATGGGGAGACGATATGATGGCAGTTGCGAGTGGGGAGCTACTATAGAATTATGTCCATATATATAAAATAAATAAAAACCAGTTAACTATATAAATGGACGAATGAAGTGTAGGAAATCTTTCCATTGCAGAGGTCTGGAATAAGTAAGCTATGCACACTCTTTCTCTCTGCTTCAAAATATTTGATTTCCCAATACACATCATTTAATGGACAAATACCCTGTGCAAGAACAGCACAGTGCTGGTAGATTGACCTCATACTGATAATTAGAAACTGCCAAATTCTCAGATAAAAATGTACGTTTTTTTTAAATTCAAGTACAGAAAATCACTTAATTATCAATGAAATGACTCAACAATGTTCTAAACTCTTACTGAGCAATGTAGATATATTGGTAAAGACCATGAAAGAAACACATTACTCTCAGTCTTAGCAGAAAAACATGTGCAAGATAATCAGGTGCAAACTTGAAAAAACATGTGGTGTTATAAGAATGCTACATAGCTATATATGTAACAAATTAGCCAGAACAAAATGTTACAAAGAGACAGAAGGTAAGCTTGCAAAATGTGCACAGATGAATTTTAGAGAACCTTTATACTTATTTGCATTTAGTTTGGCTCAGTCATTATACATTATTGACAATGCTGCTTGAGAGGTACATTACAATGAATTTTAAATTGCAAGTAAGCACCATCTGCTCACTTAACACTCCCCACCTAATACTGCTTGTTAACATGTCATTATCACAATGTCAAATCCCGAAAAGTTCAGGCTGCTTTTGAAAATTAATCCATATGTTAGTAAGCACTGCTCAATGAAGAAACATATTTAGCAAAAATAAAACAAAACAAAACCCTGTTTTACCAGTTCTTCACAATTTAACATTGAAAAGCTATTTAATAACATTTAAAGGAACGTCAAAATATTCTCCATATTGTCTTGCATATTCCCCTACTCCCAACCCTTATTTCCTTTAAATCCAATTTACACATTCCTTTCTCATAAAATCTCAGTAGCCTAGTGCAAATGCAAATCCAATAGGTAATTCTTGTTAACACTAAAGCTTTAGCCAGAAACAAATGAATTAAATTCAAAACTAAGATAGTACATCTGTTGCACAAGTTTTCTTACAGTTTTAAGAGATTCAAAATGCCTAAATGAAAGAGCATGAATAAACTCTCTTTTTCAATTAGCTTCAGTTATGTTATGTAGTGCTAAGATATCTTCCATGAAGACCTCACTTATCAAGAGTTGCATATTGCTTGATGGAAAGCAATTAAACATGATACATAAAAGTTATGTTTGGCAGCATTTCCCAACAATGTGTCCTCCAGGTGTTTTTAGACTGCAATTCCCATCATTGCTAGGTATTGCTCATGCTGACTTAAGTGATAGAAACTGAAGTACAAAACATATAGAAACGGGAGGGATAATCTGGGGACTAGTAGTATCAATAGAAAGAGCAGAATCAAATACTATATGCAATTCAAACCCCCTGCTGAAATATCTGCCATGTGTAGGGCACTTTCCCCAACAAGAATTCTGGGGTTGCACTTCAAGTTAACCTCAAAGCCACTGCTGGTATATAGTGTCAGTTTACTGAACCTAAGTTAGAATTAGATGGCAGTAGCTTCTCTTATATTTTCATTTTGATTAAGCTTTAATCATACTTTTTCTCTCTTTCAAATCCTCTGGTGCCTTCCCTGTTCTCCATGACTTATCAAAAATAATTGCTAGTGGTTCAGTATGTTCATTAGTTAATTCCCTTAAGATCTAGAAAAGCATATACAATGGCCCAACTGATTTAAG